CCTTATTATAATTATAGTAGAATGTACCCCAGACACCTTATTGAAATTATTCAGGCCCCTAAACTACGAAACCCTGATAGTAGTCCTTATAGACCCTCTTCAGAACCCTTTAAAGGACCGTATTCTAATTATTATAACCCCAGCCTATATTACTTTGACCAGCTCTCCCTGACGGCGTGGTCCGGAAGAAGGCATAGGAGCTTCAGATTCATCTACCGCGGTTTAGGGTTCATGGTTTCGGGCATAGGGTTTAGGGTTTAGGTTTTAGAATCTAGGGTTTAGATTTTAGGTCTTAGGTTTAGGGTTTAGGTTTAGGGTTTAGGGTTTAGGGCATAGCGTACACGAAAGCCTGACGCACCTTGAAGCCTTGAACGAAAGCCGACTGCCAGGATTCTGTTCATGCGACCAGAATCAGCTTCAACAGTGCCATTGAGTCCTGCGAGATGCAGTGGAAGGTGCGCGTGGAAGATTCTTGAGTGATCAGGTTCTGTGCTCTTGTGGTGTATGCGGGGTGTGGGTCCCATGCATTGTGGCTGAAACCCTTCCTTTAGGACATTTTCAGGTGGGTAGTTACCGTTATAGGAGCCTTGTAGAAGGTCTATATACTTTATGGAAGCCTTATAGAAGCCCTATATACCCGAAACTGCCCACCTGTAGTTTCCTTTAACTTCCGGTGACAAGTTTATCGCAAACCTCAGTCTGCAAATCGTAAGCCCGTAAACCGAGGGTGAGGCGAATCTACTCGAAACATCTTTGCACCCTCAAATCATACGGGCAGCATGGGTTTTAATGGTAGGTCTTTAGGGTCCAACAGACGGCATATCCCACCTTGGTACTGTGATGGGGGATACTTTCCCAAATCATAATAACAATCCCTGATATGGAACCCTTCGTTCTACTATAATGGATACATAGGGACCCTGAAACGGAGCCCAAAACCCTAAACCCTCAAAGGAAGCCTACAATCTACTTACTATATAGGTGCTTTGGACCCGTTGGGTAAGGAGAATCATCTTAGGCAGTTGCGAGATGCAGCGATCGAAGAAGCTCCACTGACCCCTTGAACCCGCATGTTCGATCACCAAGCGTGTATGTTAGTATAGGGGCCTAAAATTTAGGGTTTAGGTTTTACCCATACTTTTTTTTGGGTGGGTCCCGTATTCTATTTCTAGTAGAACGTACCCCAAAACCCTGTTCTAATTATCAAGGCCCCTCAGCCCAAAACCCTATAGGTAGTCCTTATAGACCCTTTTAAAAACCAATATAAACCCAAAGGGTCCAAAGTACGTGTATAGTAGAATGTAGGGTTTTTGTATTAGGACTTTTTATTTTGATGTGGGAAAGTATCCCCCATAACTGTACCTAGGACCCTTTGGGAAAGGACCCCTCTTCTAACAATTCAGGCCCCTACAATAACCATTCTCTTCGTTCGGTTTCGGACAGTAGCTCGAGCCCTAAACCCTAAAACCCTAAAGCCCTAGAACCCTAATCCCTTAACTCTAAGACCCTACCTAAACCCTAAAACCTACAACCCTAAACCCTAAAACCCTTACCCCTAAAACCCTAAACTCTAAAACCCTACAACCCTAAGCCCTAAACCCCAAAACCCTAAACTCTAAAACCCTAAACCCTAAAAGACCTAAACCCTAAAACCCTAAACCCTAGAACCCTAAACCCTAAACCCAAAAACCCTAAACTCTAAATCCCTAAACCCCTAAAGACCTAAACCCTAAAACCCTAAAACCCTACAACCCTAAACCCTAAAACCCTTACCCCTAAAACCTTAAACCTAAACCCTAAACCCAAAAGCCCTAAACCCTAAAACCCTTACCCCTAAAACCCTAAACCCTAAACCCTAAACCAAGCCTTCAGCTTCGGGCTCCGAAGCCGTTGGGGGCCGAGGTGACTGTGGACCTGCTCGCAGCAATGCAGCGCGCCGACATCGTCCCGGATGACATGAGCCACGCGATGCAGGTTTAGGGTTTAGGGTTTAGGGCCTAGGGTAAATGGGCACTACTACTAGAAACTATACTACAAAATATCAACAACTGTAGCATACCGGGAATTTAGAGCAATTGTTTTGCGGAGCCGTCTTGGCAATCTTGGTTATCTGGGTCCATCTTGGTCAAAAGCAAGATTGCCAGCAATCTTGGTCATCCTGCAATCTTGGTCATCTTGCCCCACTTGCTTGTCGACTAGTTTACTTTTTTGACCAAGATTGACCAAGCTTGCTGGCAATCTTGCCCCCCCCAACAAAAAATGTGAACAAGATTGCAAGATTGCTTTGGCAAACGTTCGCAAATAATTGTTGTAAATTTCCGGCACATTGTACTTGTATTCGTACTAGTACTAGCACTATAGCTAATGCTAATAGTAGTACTAGTTCTAGTACAAAAACAACTACTACCACTACTACAACTACAACTACTACTGCTGCTACTACTACTACTACTACTACTACTACCACTACCGCTACTACTACTACTACTACTACTACTGCTGCTGCTACTACTGCTACT